TTCAATTCAATTCACATAAACAAATACCAAAAACCATAAACAAATACATAATTATTAATACACATAAACAAATACGTAATTACTAGTACACATAAACAAATACCAACCAAAATAAACAAATACATTATCACTAATACACAAAAACAAATACCAAACACAATAAACAAATACATAATTACTAGTACACATAAACAAATACCAACCAAAATAAACAAATACTTCATCACTAATACACAAAAACAAATACCAAACACAATAAGTCAATAATACAAATACAAAAACATAAGATAAATTTAACTTGACTTGAAATTACTCAACTAAAAATATTTTTGTCCAGCTCATGTTCATTCCACAATGGGGGTGATAGTAGAGTCTCTTGATTTCGCAATTCCCGGATTAGTTAATGGCACATCAAGATCATCATCCGAATCATCATTCACATCATCATCTACAATTATTAACTACAAATATTAATAAATGTAAATAATTAAACATATGAAATATTATGTTAACATGTTACTTGTAAACTCATATCCATGCAGGCAAATCTGAGTGCATATCAAAGATTATGTATTTTTTGGTCGAAGTGAGCTTTGATATTTGTTGAACACTTTACTACTAATACTAGTGGGAGCAAACAATAAACAACTTTACAAAACAACCCAAAACAAGACACGAGCTCATATTTTCAATTTGTTAGATAATGGATGACAGCCTAAAAGGAAATTGTGTATGGCTATGCAATACAGAGGATAAAAAATTGAAACATACCCATATAACAAAATCCAAACTCTGTACTCCAAAGAGACAATAGCTTCACAACCCATCTAACATAACAAGAGAACAAAACCATACAGATCAACACTTATTACGAAGCATACCCGAAATCCTAAACCATTACTAGAATCATTGTCTTGAATTAACCTGAAAATATCATAAGACTTAAATCAAACAGAAACATACCCATAAAAAGAAACTGTAAATGAAGCAACTATCTTAAGCAAATCTTCAATACCCATTATCTTTAATCCTCTGATAAGTTTCTGGTTCATATAAAATAAAAGTGTTATTTACAGCAGCACTTGGCAGGAGGGTTGATTTGTGCACACTATGTAGGGAAATGACAAAAGAAATAAAGGGTTTCTCTAGTCAATATCACAAGGATAAGGATCTTCCAGTTTAAGTTTAGCAAAGATACCTGGAATACTTGAAAAGTACCACTACCGAAACTACCGTATAAAGTGCAACAGCTGAAAACTACAAATGAGGTCCCTTGTTCAAAGCAAATTGACTAATTGGATACAATTTCAAATACAAAAATGCTTTATCCATCAAATGAAGCTTATCAGAGGAATAGGAACTCTACAGCTGCAGCTTTTACTACTTCTTAAAGAGGATTAAAGATATATGCAAGTGTGATACTAGATTGAAGCTTAAAGAGGATAAAAGATATATGCAATTGTAGAAAAGAAGAACACGCGATCTTTTACCGTGGTTCACTTGTTCAAGAATGAACAAGCTACGTCCACGTTGAGCTCCAGAATATAGAGGCTCATTGCACTATTATTACTGCCACCCAAAGATTACAGATCACACAATCAAATTTCCCTTCAAACCCTCACTTACAAGAATCACAATAGTTTCACTCTTATACCCGTAAATCAATAATCCTAAAGAGAATTCTAACCTGATTCTCTACCCACAAAGAAACACAACCTTTTGAGTGGATCTAACCCCTAATTTACACAAGAGTACTAAACTGTTCTATATCTAACTACAACAGAGGGTTTCAGATTGATATTCGATCGAAAGAGCACTATGCAAATTGGGAAAGCTTCAGCTTTTATATGGTTGACCAGCAAGGTGAGTCTTCAACTGTTGGATTGCTAGGAGATCAATTGCCAGAAATGCAAGATGTATTTAAGCTAAAACGACAGCGTAGAAGGCTTCACTAAATAACAAAACATTTTGTTCTCATTTAACCAAATATAATAACAATTAAAATAGTAGAATTTTGAAAGAAAGAATTGAAGAACAATATAGTTGCTCTGAGTAACAAAGCATGAAAAAGAAAATTTTCCATTTAACCAAAAGTGATTAATTTGTAATAAAACATAAATTTGCTTGATTATTTCCCAAATGAGAAGAAGGTTGATGTTGCACACAACTTTGAATGCAAAAGTGAAAGAATTAGGAGAAACTAATGCAGGGGTATGAAATTTACCGTCCAATTAACTTTAAAATCCAAAGCATTTGCCCCCTCCATATATAGTCCATGCTCTGCATTACAAATGTAAGAAAATGACAATTATTTACTTCTACGTGAAATAGGAAGGTGCGTTCAACTAGGAAAGCTACTACTCAAGAACCTATATAAAAGAGTCTTTAGATGAGAAAAGATTCAAGCTCTTAATGAGAGATTCAAAGGAAGCTACGTGGGAGGAAGTTTCAAGGAGGCTATGTGAGAGGTAGTTTCGACTCTACGGAGAGTTACGTTTGAGAGGCAGTTTCGACTCTAGAGAGAGTTACTTGGCGAGCTTGTGGAGGGAGTTCCTGAGACACACCAAGGTCAGCTTCGGAGGCAAATTGAGGTCAGCTTTGGAGGCAAGTTGAGGTCAGCTTCGGGGGCCAAGCTGAGGAAGGTGCAAGCTCTTAGAGGTGAGTTTGTGAGCATACAAATACAAAAGGGATCTAATCATGGGATTAGGATCTGGGAGAGATTAGAGAATATCTTCATCATAGGATAAAAGAGTGAGGGAAATCATATATAACCATAAGAGGATTCTTCGGGTTAGATTTCTTGTTTATCTTGTCTTTATATTATGTATTTGTGAGGTGTGTCTATTATGTATTCGATGTGATGTCAAAGCATATCACTTCCGCACCTAACATAAACAACCGTATATATTAAGTTGTTGAAGTAGCAAGAATATGATAACAAGTAAAACCAGAGTTGTTTTGAATGAGTTTTTGTGTTTCTATCACATGCAAATAAAACATAAAAAAATGCATGCAAAAAAAAAAAAAAAATGTTTATCGATCACATAAAAAATGCTATTTAATGATAAGACATAAAAAGAAATATTCACGATATTGTTACCTTCAGTTTGTTTATGCCCATTGAGCAGTTAGAGAAAATTCAAAAAATGAGAAGAACATAAAAGTTAATGTTGTTGTATGACTGGAATTTTGTCTAGCTTCTAAGACACCGAAATAAGAAAATAAAAGCACACAACTTTGAGACAAATTTTTTTCCAAAATTCAATAATAAAATTGACATTTTATCTTATTTGAACAAAATTGAAAGAATTATCGAAACTAATGAAGGATAAGATACGTACTAACCAATTAACTACAAAATCCGAAACATTTGTCCTCACCATACAGTTCATGCTCTGCATTAGAAAAAAGGACAATCCTTTAAAAGAAGTTAAAAAATAATTCAAACACAATAAGAAAGGTTGATTGATTAATTTGAAGAGAAGTATTAACCTGTTTAAGAAGAAGAATTGTCCTCAGAATTCATCTATAAGGAGGTATGGTACTAAGAAGTACATTTGTCTGGAGAATTTGCTTTTGCTTCTCATCCATGAGAAAGTCACGTTCTTCAATGGATGTAATAGTCACATTATGGAGTGAAGGGAGAAATTGTATGGTTTGATCCACATGAGTGAGTGTTGGACATGACAAAATTTTCAACTCCACTAGAGAAGTGAGCTTTTGCATCCTATCCATTGGTAGGGATTTTAGATCAGGAATTTTAAACATATGCATAGACTTTAAATTGGAGAGAGGAGCAGAAAAGTTGGAGGAAGTTGATGCTCCCACTCCATTCATCAACATCATCGTCTGTACCAGCGATTTTGAGCTGGTCTCAGACAAATTTAGTTCTTCCAAAGATGGATACAGTGGCATGAACGTCAATTTGGGGCAAATTTGGATATACAATTTGGAAAGACAAGGAAATGAAGGAAATTCTACTCCATTATCATTATCTCTCCTCCACCATCCCTTTAATTTACGACAATTATAGAGTATGAGTTCCTTAAGTGATGGGAAGAATGTTGAATAATTGTTCATCGCTTCCTCTGAAATGTATTCCACATCATCTAGATATGCAAGAGACAAACTCTTCAAATGAGGTAATTGACCCAACGGTGGGATATGTTGGCATCTCTTACATTCTCTCACACTAATTGAAGTTAGATTTGTAAGGGAGGAAAGCCAGTTACACAACTTCACACCCATAAATGAACTTATATCAATTTTTTTCAGATTTGGGTGTGGCTTTAGACCTTCAAACACCACTTCATCAATCCCTTGATCCTCTTTACCATCACTTCTCCCCCAGTCTAATATTAGAGACCGAAGAAATTGCTTATTTTCTAAGTTGACCAACTTACAGTTTTCCTAATATTTTAAATTTTAAATTTTTAGTATTCCTCTCAAGTTTTTCAACCCATTCAATTCCTCTAATCCACCGTTTATCCTTTTTGTGCGACTTACAACAAATAATGATAGAGTCTGAAGATTACCCAAACACCCCAGTCCAGAGGGCATTCCAATTAACGAATCACATTTCTTATTTATAAGATGCCTAAGGTTAGAGATTTTTCTAATACCTCTTGGTAGTTCCTTAAGCTTATCACAACAAGAGAGATCTAATGTTTCCAAATTCCATAGCCTCAACAACGAATTAGAAAGTATTTCTATATGCATATAAGAAAGATTGAGATAGCGTAAATGCTTCAATTCACTTATTGAACTCTTCAATTCACCATTTGAACACAAGTTTTGAAACCTTAACCCTCCAAAATCCAATGTTCGCAAGAATTTATACTTTGACAAAATTTCATTATCGTCAACCAAGTCGAATTCCCAATTTGATTGATAAAATAAAAGTAAACTTCTTATATTTTTAGCACTATATAATTTAACTGGAAAATTCAATGACTGTTTTACTTCACCACAATCTAGTGATAGATGACGACATTTTACATCTACATTTTAACCCTATTAACAATTTCTATGGTGCATTCAATTCCCGCAACTAATTGTGCAAGGTCGCGCATAAGACCATGCATCTTACATGCAATTACATTACCCCATTCATCATATTCAGGATCTTGCAAAAAAGACCTCAAAATTAAAGCCATAAAATACTTATTACCAACATCTTCTAGACATTCCTTGTTTGATGCCTGAAGAAACCCTTGTGCCATCCATAAACAAATTAATTTTTGCTTCTTAATTTTATAATCTCTTGAAAATAATGCACAGTAAGTAAAACATTGTTTCAAATATGAGGGGAGGTGATCATAACTAAACTTGAGCAATGGCAAAATATCACTTTCTTCTTTAAACACTTTTGACATTTCAGAATCCTTGAAATGTAACCAATCATCTTCATTATTATTACCATAAAGTAATTGCCCTATTGTCATTATTACAAGAGGTACTACTCCACACTTTGCTACAATCCCCTTTCCAAACTCTACTAGTTTTGAATCTTTAGGCTCTATCCCATTTTCAAAGGCTTTTTGTGTGAACAAAGACCAAGACTTTTTTTCATCAAGTCCTCTCAAGGGATAGATATAAGATTTAATTTTACTAGTAACCCTAGCAATTTGCTCACTACGTGTAGTGACCAATATCTTACTTCCTCTCTCTCCGTCCATTAACAAATTTTTTAATTCATCCCATTTCTTGGGATCCTCATTCCATATGTCATCCAAAACTAGTAAATATTTTTTCCCATTAATTTTATTTCGAAGGGATTCTTGTAATTGATCTAATTCAAGTCCTTCAGGTTTCTTACTAGTTGCAGATTTTAAGATCTTTTCCACAATTATTTTCACCTTAAAGTCGTTAGATACACACACCCACATCTTTAATTGAAAATGTTTTATGATATTCTCATCATTGTATAAAAGCTGAGCAAGTGTAGTCTTTCCTAATCCTCCAAAGCCAAATATGGAAATGACTGAAACATTCTCATCAACATTTGAGTCCAACAAAAGATCTACAACTTTGTTTTTATCATTATCTCTTCCTATAACCTTTTCTGCATGTACAAAAGAGTGTGTTTCTCTTTCTATATTCATGATTCTTAAGTGTGTTTCTCTTTCTATATTCATCACTCTTTTTTCATCAAGACTCTCACTATGGTGGAAATCCCTATCAGTTTTAATCATTTCTAGTTTCCCCCTAACAGTCTTAATCTTATAAGCAATTTTAAAACTATAAATAATTTGATTAGATTTGGAGAAGAAGATCCTTACCTCTTTTACCATTTAATTTCCACCCAAAGCCTCTTGTTGTGAAAAATGAGTAGAGAAATCATCTAGCAAGTCATCGGCCGCATAAAATGCATCTTTGAGCCTTTCAATCCAATCTATCACCACAGGGTTTATTATGCTATGCTGCTCCTCAGCATCGCGAAGTACAAGTTTGATAGTGTTGACAGTGGTCCTGAGTTTCTGAATCTCATCTTTAACACCCCATGCCAATATGCCTTCTCGAACAGCCAAGGACCCCAGCAGTCCCAAGATTTTACCCGCAGCGTCTAATAGAATTCCTTCTGCCATTTGTTCTTGGTTGCTCAAATAGAAATGATTTTTAGAGGGTGAAGTTAATAAAAAAAGGTACTTGTAAAATTGATTATAAGACTATGTTATTCATATTTATAGACAAAATCTTATATAATTACTTAAAAGAAAATTCTTGATGTATTCAAAATCTTGAAATATGACAAAGATACTTGACTGAATGATGGAAATCCCAACCTAAAAGAAAAGTAATTGATATACTTGCCGTAATGATAGAAAAAGAAAACCTTATATAATTGCTTAAAAGACAAAGTTGCAGAAAAAGAATGAAATAGAGCATAAGCAAAAGCAAAAGATGAACTTTGAGAAAGAGAATAATAAGAAAAAACATGAGATAGGAACAATTTGTTGATCATCTGACAATTCATATGCTTTCATATAATTTCAGATTTTCTCATCAGGCTGTGGTATATATCTTAAAATAAGGTCGAACAGTCCGTTTATTATTTCAATTCCGTTTTAATTGATCTCATTTTAATATTATGAATTAATTATTCGAAGAAAACTATTTTCACTATAAATAGGAGATGGCTTTCCAAATTAGTTCTTTGACAATATCTGATGGTTAAATTTTATAATGTTATGAATGTTAATTTTTTTTCTTTTCCAAATTCTTTTTTGAAAAATGGTATCAAATATGTTCCTAAATTTTGTTAATACATATGTTTAGGATTAACATTTTATTGGATCAAATTTCATTTAATTTTATTAAAATTCCATAAATATGTTATCGTAATTTTAGATCATAAATGATGCACTAACAACTATTGTGTGTGAGAAGAGAGAAAAATAGTTGAAGAAAGAGAGAGAGAGAGAGAAGGAAAATGTCGAGAACTTTCTTCTGTTTCTATTGAATTGATTAATGAACTTACAACATTTTTTGCAATTTATAATGAAATGAACTACTGAAAAAGAAGAATAGTAGCAAGTGAGTTTAGCGCGCTAAGCTAAGCTACTAAAGTCTTAAGAGAAAAACGCTGCCGTTTCACTTCCCTTTGAGTGATGTCGTTTTGAGTTTTCTATCCAACATATTGCACATTATTTGTCATCTTATTTCCTCATTCATATTACTCTAATTAATGAATGTCATAACATTTGTGATCTAAAAATTAGTATACATAGTATTATTATTACTTTATTTTGTTATATAATTCAAGAATTAATCCTCTTTAACCATGAATCAAACTCTCGAACTCATATTTTATATATCTCAATCTATACATCTTTATATAAACAGTGGTAAAAAGCCTTTGTTGAGTCCTCATATTTTTCGATGCGCCAAAACTAACCAAAGAGTTGATTGGTTCTCTAACAAACATGCTAGGTATGACAAGAAGTCATAACCAAAAACAAAATGTACTTTTTCTAATCGGTACGATCGTGCAGGACAAAGGAACGACTCTTCATTGTATCACAAAGTTGCCCAGATGCACATTCCTCTCAACACAACAATGTTCACATGATCGTGCATGCTTTTGCCCAAAATAGGGTCAAGTCGCTCACAACAGCACGACCAAGTAGCACTCTTGTTCCATCCAAGTCAAAAGTCAAAGTACTCAAAATTCAAATATTTTGTGCATTTGACAAGTCTTGGAATACAAGCCTTGAATATCAAGTTGAAGTTCATGTATCTAAAGTGGAACAACCATTCCTCATGGTGGAATGACTGTTCACACTCAAAGATTGTTCTTGGCAGAACGTCATCGTGCTAGGAAGTCGTGCATGCTTCTTGAATTCTTATGGATTTATAAAAAACCAATGGGTCAACTGTTCCCTGTAGTAGAATGACTATTCGTGATTTGGTACGACCACTCGTGATGGTGGAACGATCATACTAGAAATCCTAAAGCTGTGCGAAATGACCGTTGGTGTTAGGAACAACTATTTGCGATGGTGGAACACACGTTCCTCCGTGTCTACAGGCTTTTCATAGTTTCATTAAATGCATCAAGGACTCTTTGCTTCAAAGGGAAGAGATGAGCAATATATAAGGCCTTTTTATTGCTAAGAAAGACATAGAGAATATCAAAGATACAAAGTCATATAAAAAACATTCTCACATAATCCCTTGAGCTAAAAATCCAAATCAAATCATCACTTTCTTGTACTCATTTGAAAACATTTGAGAGTATTGTTCTTGTTGTGTGTTTAAGCCTCGTTTAAGAGGCAATCTTTCACTTACTTTTATTCAAACATCTTGTGGGTGAAATCTTGTAAATCTAGAGGCAAAATCTTGTCAAACTAGTGTATTTGGCACAGTCCGATTCTAATGGAACTTTAAGGAGGTTGGCTTGAAGAAGTGGATGTAGGAGACTTGTGGATAGAGCTCTAAACCACTATAAATCTCTAACCATTTCTTCTCTCTCAACCCATTTATTATTCCTTGCATATTTACTTGAAGCATCATTATCATTTGCACTCGTTCATTGCTTACCTAATGGTTTCAAGAGTTAATCGGTCTAGATATCTAGTAAATCAACATCTCTCTTTAATGAAGGTCATTGTACTACAAGACCCCCATTGTTTTGTGGTGTAAACTACGCACAATGGAGAATTAGAATGAGACTTCATATTAAGTCCATCGATTACAATTTATGGAAAATAGTAGAACAAGGGAATTAAGTTCCCATGGACCTTAATACAAGTCATCCAAAAAGAGAAGAAAATAATACGACTAATGATGAAAAGAAATTAAGTTTAAATGATAAAACACATAACATTATTTTTGTTCTCTTGATGCTACAGAGTTTGGAAGAGTTGTGATATGTGAAACAGCCAAAGATGCATGGGAAATTCTTCAAACAACTCACGAAGGAACAAGTCTAATGAAGGAATCAAAGATCGAGATGCTATTCTGCAACTATGAGCATTTTGAGATGAATCCGAAGAAAGCATCACCAACATGTACAAAAGATTTTCCAACTTGATAAATGACCTCAAGTGTCTTGGAAAGAGTTTTAAAACTCTTGAGCTTGTAAAAAAAATCCTTCATTCATTGCCGGAGAGTTAGACAATGAAGGTGATTGCGATAGAAGAATCCAACGATCTCACCAAGATGAAAATGGATGAGCTCATTGGTAGCTTGTTAACTTTTGAGATGAAGAGAAAGCCAAAGGAGGATGAAAGCAAATAAAAGAAGGAGATTGCTCTCAAGACAATAAATGAAGAAGAGAAAGGTGATTCCTCTATGGAGAAGATGAAATCAACTTCTTGGCAAGAAGACTCACCAAGTTTCTTGGAAAGAACAAACATTTCAAAGGAATAAATTTCCAAACATTCAAACCAAGAAACACGAGGAACAAACAACAAACGAGAAGGAACTCACCCTCAAAAACACCGAGGAGAGCGCATGTAGCTTCTTCGAAAGAGACATCTACTCCGCCTCTTCGAACATATCCTAGGTGACCATCTCATGTAACATCGTCACCTTGGGAGAAATATCGGAGGGGATCCCTACAGCATTTAACTCCTCGCCATCGCCGGATGACCGGGGGGGGCGGCAGGTGGGCCTCCGCATCACCCAGTCTTGCTCTTTTTTAAGGGATCGAGGCAAGAGCCGTTTCCTTAATATCTTCCTCTCCCCTTTTCAAAACTACAACGGTAGGTTTCTTCTTCGGCCTGCTGGATTATTGGCACTTGAGGATCGTTTTCCTTGGAATAGGCCCTTTAGGAGTTTGATCCGGTTTCCAGGGGTGCATCCCAACATAAACGAACACGAAGTTAGCATGCATACCACCTCAGATGAGACAAAAAGCCAAGCAAGCCTGCTTACTAGTCTTTTTTCGCCTTAGAGAATATGGTCTAAAACTTTGTAGACGTAGGGTAAAGCCAGAATTGATCAGATTCTCAAGCATAATGGATTACCCACGTGGCATTCGTCCTAAAAGAGCCCAGAGAATTACGGGATCCAATGCTTGAAATTTTTAGAGACCTTAGGCTAGACATGACTAGTTGTCCTAACAACCCATGAATGGAAGGGACATTCCCACTCCATCGGAAAAAGAAATAATCAGAGTCCCAACCATTGATCTTGCTAAGGATCCCCACCATCCCATAAAGACTAGGCTAGTTCGCCTTGGAAAGTTAGTAGGCCCCTCATTTGCTCTTCTTCAGACTATAGACATAGATGAACTCACTCACCGTGAGCTCTCCCAAACCGGCCTTTTGGAAGGTGATGTACATGCTCACCAAATAAAGATAGGAGTTAGCTTTCATCTGTAGTGAAGCAATCCTGATCCGGTGCAAAACCCGAGAGATAAAGTAGTGAGGTGGGACTGACATGCCACACCTCAAGAGGACTTCCGACATCGCCACCCATCCATCAGATGGATTCTCAAGCGAATGACTATCTATTACTTGTAGCTCGATAGGCAACCCATAATCCTCAAAGACATGGATTAGTTTGTCCTCGGGCAGGGGGAAGGAGAGTGGTCAGTCAGCACACACACCGTTGTTAGGACAATACCCTCATTAGAGTTGGTGTCTTCGACCCTCAC